CTAAGAGGCAGGGATAGATGCAGGAATATTTTAGGAAGGTCAGGGGGCAGGCTATGGTGGACAGGGACAGCAGTAGCAGTTGGAGGCAACTTCTGCGTCCCACACTGGCCCTTTGCCGTACTTAAGGAATATTTCCCTGTGCCAGGAAGCATTTTGGATCATATTTTCCTCCAATGATGTCAGAATTTCTTGACGGAGTCCTTACTATTTAAAATTGTAGTTGTGGCTAAAACCCTCACACCTGGGCTGCAGAAGGCAGCCAGCTAATTGTGTCTAAAATCAGGCAGTGATTTTCTGGCCAATTGAGTCATCTGTCTGTAATGCTTTATTTCTCTCACAGTTTTTTTTTCTCCATTTCCTCTTCTTCCTCCACATCTCAGCACACTCTGGTTCCCTCTCTTCCCACTCTCTTCCTCTCCAGCCTCACCCCCTACCCTCTGACCACCCACACCCAGCTTCCTTCTCAAGACTGGAAATCCATCACACCCGTCACAATTTCTTTACTCCACCCTCAGCTCTTAGGGAGACTCACTCATGCATTGTTACAGCTACCCGGTAGAAACAAATAGGAACATCCCCCCAAATCTCTTTGAAATTAGACATTAAGTCATTTATTCTAATGGTTACCCATCCGCTCATCAATCTGCTAATTTTTGTCTCTATATAAATGTTGCATGAGATAGCCGGGCCTGGTGGCACACACCTGTAATCCCAGCACTAGAGGGGCTGAGACAGGAGGATCATTTCGAGTTTGAGACCAGCTGGGCTACAAAATGAGCTCAAGGTCAGCCTGAACTGCATAGTGAGACTCTGTCTCAAAAAGAAAACATAAATAAATAAAGAAATATTGCATGAGGAGAAGTTTGCCTAGTATTGGAAGACAAATGGGTTTTGATGATACTGTCATTTCCTGCTCAAATCTTTGCAGAGCTGAAGGAACTGTGTAGGTTAGCTGGAGGTTTGCTCCACTTAATAACAAACTCAGAGTTATACCTAAAGGAGACAGGAAGAAATGAAAGCTACAGCAGTGGTCACGGACATGTCATCCAGGACTCATTTGGGGCTGGATTTGCCTCCCGTCAACCAGGGTGGAATGCCTTTCCTCTGATTGGTACAGTTAATAACTTGAGGTCCGAAGTTTATTTACTTGGCATGCCCCCTGTCCCACACTAAGCTAGAGGAGTTTCATGGTTCCATTTCGTCTTTGTTTATTTACATATTTATCTTTTTGTCTTTTTGAGACAGGGTCTCGCTGTGCAGGTCAGGCTGGCCTTGAGCTCCCTTTGTAGCCCAGGCTGGTCTCAAACTCACAAGGATCCTCCTGCCTCAGCCTCCCAGGTGCTGAGATTACAGGCATTCACCACCATGCCCCGCCCCATTTCATCTTTGGAATGTGGTACTCATGAGTAGTGTAAGCTGCTGGGAGGTCACAAGACTGCGTCTCCTGCAGTTCCCCATCCTATCAATGTTCTCCTGAACTGCCTTTTGGAGATACTGGTGTTATACTTTTCCCAGCACTCACACTTACATTGAGAGTGGCTGTGGTGGAATTCTGTGAGGTTGAAAGGGACTATCCCACAGGACTTTTATTTCCTAAGCCTACTTTGCCTTAGCATGAGAGAGATTATGGCTTGTTCATTTGCTTTCTCAAGCCATTCTTCCACACAAAATATATTGCAACTTTCCTTCAGTACATAACAGCAAAATGTACTTTGTAGCACTGGTAGATTGTACTGCAAGCCACTGTATGTCTGCGCTCTTCTTAAAGGAGATGTTAAATGGAAAGGGTAGTAAAATGTGTTCTCATCTAAGTGAGGATTCAGGAGACCAACTCAATTGACTGGAGACATTCTGACTAAAACTGAAAATCAAGAGCTCCGAAATATGTATCAACAAGTGTTTATTTCCGGTATGTGATATATCAACAAGTTTTTATTTCCAGTATTTGATTATTGTTATGATCCAAGTGACATTGTTGAAGTTTATAATCTAGACAAATATATTTGTTTCATTTATTAACACCTGAGTAATATTACCATGTCCTGGGATGGCTAAAATACAGGAGCACAATATTTCTTTTTTTTTTTTTTTTTTTTTTTTTTTGGTTTTTCTCCGGTACCGGGAACCGACCTCACGACCTTGCGCTTGCCAGGCAGGCGCTTTGCCGCTGAGCTAAATCCCCAACCCCAGGAGCACAATATTTCACATATAAAAAATAACTTCAAGCTGGATGTGGTGGCACACACCTGTATTCCCAACACTCAGGAGGCTGAGGCAGGAGGATCGTTGGGAGTTTGAGGCCAGCCTGAGCTACAAATTGAGCTCAAGGCCAGCATGAACTGCATAGTGAGACTCTGTCTCAAAAAGACCAAAAGAAAAAAAAAAATCCCTGAGTTCAATCCCCAGTACCACATTAAAAAAAAGAGGAACATGTTAATCACCTAAACTTGTTATTTATTGTCTTATCTGAAAAAAATTATTACTGTAGTAGTAGATTCATTAAGAGGAACATTTAAATACAATGTGATTTTCCTAAGTAGAAAGAAAAAACACATTTTAATTTTCTTAACAATATCCAGGGCAAGAGATACAGCACTGAGTTCAGGTCAGAAAGAGAGCTGGCCCTGCTCCCCGAAGTCCAGCAGAGTCACATAGGGACAACTCCCCTAGCTCTGAGGTGCCAGGTCCCTCAACCGGCAGGGGAAGGGGAAGGCATGGCCCCGAGCAGCCCAGCTCCAAGCCACCCCTGCCCGGGAGGCCACTGCTGCAGATCCTCACCCTGGGCTATCAGGGTGGACCCCAGGAAGGACGGTGGTGGCGAAGTCCGCGCGCAGAGGAGCCGAGAACGGTCCGCCAGAGGCAGCGATAGGTCCTGGAGCTGATCAGCAGCCGCACAACCCTGAATCACCAGGCCCAGCAGAAGCAACGAGGAGCCCCAAGCAGTCGCCGAGCCAGAGAGACAATCCCGGAACGCGGACCCTGAAGTCAGAACCAGGAAAGCAAGCCAAGGTGCCAAAAGCCCAGGAGCCGTGAAACAAGCTGACTTTGTCTGCAGCAAGTCTCTGCGGATGACCCAAGTGAGCCTAGGCAGGGGCTGCACAGGGGACCTCCGTGTCGCAGCAGAACTTGGCAGCACATCAGCTGGAGAGAGCCGGTGAAGCCAGCGGAGTTCAGCCTTGATGGAGTTGGCCGGAAAGAACTGTCAAGCTTGGAGCGACATGCCCCGGATCATAAAATAGGTTGGCAGCGCGCTGACGAAGAATGTCCACTCCCTGGACCGAACACTTAGTAAAAAAACTGCCGATAAATCACGGCAGATTGTGCAATTTAAGATTGATTTTATCACCAAGTTATGACCATCTCGGGGAAGAGGACGGAAGCAAGCAAAGCGAACACAGACAGCCGTAACCCTGGGCCGGAGGGGCCTCAACAAAAACCACACTGAAAAAATCCAGGAATGAGTCACTGTGCCAGGAGCACGAATATGAGCCTTTCAGAATTCCCTGGGCAGAGAGGCCCCAGACAAGGCAGAAAACAGAAATAAAATGTGGATTTGTAACTCAGACACCTGGAAGACCAAAACCGAAGCCATCCCAGGAGCACGCAGGTTTGCCCTTCCGCTAAAGATCAGCCTGTGTCTGACCACCGTCTTCTCCTTCTGCGTTGCTAGGCCTGATATTTATGATTATGTAGCGTTTCCAAGCTCAGCTACAGTACAACCTGATTCCCTGAAGACATCTACTCTTACGGAGGGAAGGAAGGAACATGGTAGGATTCATCAGTCCATACTGCTTCCAAAAAGAATTTTGTTTTTTTAAATTTTGTGTCTTTTTGAGACAAGGTCTCGCTATGCAGTTCAGGCTGAACTTGAGCTCACTTTGTAGCCCAGGCTGGTCTCAAACTCAGTGATCCTCCTGCCTCAGCCTCCCAAGTGCTGGTATTTCAGGCGTGTGCCACCATGCCCAGCCCAAAGGCAATTTTTAAATCTTTCCACTGGGCATCTGTATCTCAAACCCCTGCACAATGCATTGCCAGCTTAATAAAAGGTTTCAGACATGAAAAAAAAAATCATATCCATGTTGAGTAGTACTTGACAATAATAACAAAAGAAGGCTGGTTTAACTTTTTGAACTGATGGTATTCCGAGAGTAAAATTGGAGGTTTGTAAAAAGTGTGTTCTTTTGTAGCAGGAGGGATAGAACTCAGCCTCTTGCTGTACGCCCACACCGCATGCACCAGCCCACTGGGTCACACCACCAGCCCACATTGGGTCCTCTGGGTGAAACAAGCTGTAAAGAGGCTTAGCAGGATAATTTATTTCTATATTAAATTCAAGTCTAGTAAGGGTTTAATTTTCGTAGCAAAATGTTCCATGAACCAGTGATTGCAATTCAAAACAGCTTTTCGTAGAAGGTGTCCTTTGGAACTGTAAACATCTCTTCCATCCTTTTTCCCACAATCCACAGTGAACATTTTAAAAAAATATTAGAAATATATAAAGCAAGGATGTCTTTTTTTTACTTTTTTTTTTTTTTTTTTTTTTTTTGTGGTACTGGGGATCGAACTCAGGACCTTGCACTTGCCAGGCAGGTGCTTATGCCACTGAGTTGTATCTCCAGCCTAAAGCAAGGATGTCTTACGTGCTTTCCTTTGTTTGCTGGGATGAAATTCCCAAGCCTTGAGATTCAAAGAAGGATAGGCTTATTTGGGCTCATGTTTCAGTCCGTAATTAACTGGCTCCACGGCAGACAAGAACTGCTCAGCGCACTCCAGCTGGGAAGCAGAGAGCGGAAGGAAGAGCTAGGGAGGGACATAAACTCTTCCAGGACACACCCCAGGGACTCACCTCTGACCAGACCCACCTCCTGTAGCAAGTCAGCTACAAATCCCCTTAATATGTTGAAAAGCCCCTGTAAGTGCATGAGGGTCCGGGGACATCTTAGATATAAACTGTTAGCACGTGATACACAAAATAAACCCTAGGATCTGACCAAAAAACCTGAAGCTAAAGCCATCATGGCTTTATTTTTACAGCTGTGAGTGATTTCCATAAAGAAAAGACAACCACTGAATTTTCTTTTGTATAGTCTCAGTTACAGGTTTCAGTTTTTCTGAGGATTTTTTCATTCGTCATTCCACTACCATGCTCTTGACTTTTGTTCCTATTTTCAATAATCTTCAAAAAACATGAAGTCCTGGGTAAAAACAGAAAAATATAAAAGTGAGGAGTCAGAAAAAAGCATCAATTCTCAAACACAGCTAAGAGAACAGATCACACACAATAACTTTTTTTTTTTTTTTTTTGAGACAGGGTCTCACTATGCAGTTCAGGCTGGCCTTGAGCTCACTTTGTAGCCCAGGCTGGTCTCAAACTCCCAAAGATCTTCCTGCCTCAGCCTCCCGAGTGGTGGGATTACAGGTGTGTGCCACCACGCCTGGCTATAACATATATTAAAAAAGAAAAATTAAATATAATATGTAAACTTTTGAAAAGTCTGTTGGTATGTAAATTCTTTCATCCACTTTGAGTTACTAAATTCTTTTTTCCTAAATTCTATACTTATCTATTGATACCTATATGCATTTCTTTTTTTTTTTCAGTAAAATATAGTTTTCTTCTTATTTGGGAACACTTTGTTTTGTTCCCTATAGATTTATTTTTTAAAATTTATTTTAAAAATAAAAGAAGGAAAACATATTAACAGACAGACATCCATTTACAAAATAGCATAAGGTCAATACAAGCAATACTGAATTACAAAGTGGTACGAAATTAACAATGGTTGCTGTATTACGTTTGACATCTTCCTATAGGCATTTCTGAATTCCCTAGCAATTTTCCTAAACAGCATTTTTTATAAGCTCCTGAAATCTTTCTCCTTCATTCTGTCTGCCTCAACTTTTTGTATCTCTTCTCTAGTACACAACTTCTCTACGGACACGGTAGGAGTTCCACGCACAACTCCTTCCAAGATAATGACAGCCATGCTGGAGGGACGGCACATTATAAATAGAACACTGTGGGCCAGGTTCAGTCTTTTCCTTCGGAACCCTTCTTTGCCCCAGCTTGCTTCACTCCTTCCCTGACCTGACCCATCACTGTCTCACTAGACCGTGACCAATTTTGGAAAGAACAGACTTACAATGAGAAAACATGCGCCAAGCATCACAGCTTTCATTTTCACATCAAGGTCCAAAGGGAACTGGATCCCGAAGTTGTCTGCATCTGTGAAAGCTTCTCTGAAGAACCCAGTCCAGTGCTTGGAAATCTTGCCAACTGTAGATTTTCCATCAAGAGATTTAATCTGTATTGCAAAAAATAAAGTCTTAAGGATTTCTACAAAACTCATAGCAAAGCTACATTCAAAGGTTTAGTAAAATTAAACCAACACCATATTAAATGATACCTACATGTAACTATGATCTATGCCCCTAGTTAGATATTCATTGGCTCCTGTATATAATTTATTTATTTATTTTTTTCCGGTACTGGGAATTGAACTCATGACCTTGTGCTTGCCAGGCAAGCGCTGTGCCACTGAGCTAAATCCCCAGCCCTGCCCTGTACATAATTTAAGAGAAGTGATATGCTTTAAGAAAGGGTTTTATAGGACAAATAAATTATATGAAAGCAATTTTAATGAAATAACATGTTCTATTTTGGATTAAGACAGAAATAATAAATTATTTAAATTGACCCCAAACAAAATACAGGCAGAAAAGAATAAATAAAAACATAAATTATTTAATATAATTTCCAGAAACAAAAGAGTGTACAATGACCTGCAAATTTAAACATGATGGAAGGCTTACTTTCCACCACTATCAGAAGGGGAACATGAATTACTAAAAATTGAAAAACAGTGGTTGGTTTTGCAGTCCATGTAAACTTTATGCTTCTCTCAACACAGAAATCTAAGCTGGGTGTGGTGGTGCAGGCCTGTAATCCCAGCACTTGGGAGGCTGAGGCAGGAGGATCGCTGCAAGTTCGAGACTTGCTTGGGCTACAAAGTGAGATCAAGGCCAGCCTGAACTGCATAGTGAGACCCTGTCTCAAAAAGACAAAAAACAAAACAAAACAAAGCAAACCCCCCAAACCCAGAACTCTAACAGAGTTTTGCTTATCCTCCTGATGGCCTCTTGCAGAGATGACGAAGAAGCATAATTAGGGATTGTATATCACAAACACAGTAGTTCTTCCTTATCGGTGGGGCTCTAGTGAGGCCTGAAACTGCAGCTAATATCAAACCCTGTATTTTTCTTATTCATGGACACCTATAAGGTTTAATTTATAAATTAGGCACAGAAAGCGATTAACTATAATTATTAACCATTAAATGGGAAAATATAAAAATATGACTATACTGTAATAAGTAACACAAATTTGGTCTCCCTCTTTTACTTTCCAAATATCTTCCTCTTCTCATCCTTTTTCTGACAATGTGAGAGGATACACTGCCTACGGAGTGCAAGGGAAGTTTCATGTCGGCATTACACAGTACATTAGGCCGCTTCCTTTAGGGTTACTTGAATCTAGCAGCGAGATAGATACCAGTATAGTTGATCTGATGATCAACCATTACCAAGAACGCTACCAAGCGACGACCTAATGAGGAGGCAGCACAGCTGGTGAGATTACTCTGGAAAAGGGCTCTCTCATGTCCAGGCTAGAGGGAACGGGATGGGGCACATGATGCATTATACTACTCAGGATGGCATGTGATTAGAACTTAAAGTTATTTACCTATGGACCATCCACTTAATGTTTTTGGGCTACAGCTGACTGTGGGTAACAGAAATTGTGGAAAGCAAAACTGAGGAAAAAGGAAGTTCTTCTGTATTAACCTTATTAAAACAATCTGCCTAATTAGGCTTTTTTGTAGGAAGTCAGATTTTCTGAACATGGCCCAGAGCACAGGTTACCCTGTACAGCAGATTAAGGAAGAATTCATTAGCTTGGACAAACAGATTAAGAGAGCAAGGATAAAGTTCTATTTAAAATGAATGATAAAAAACAAAAACAAAAGTAAAATTAATGATAATGTGGTGTCACTATAGAGAAGACATCACTTTTTTTTTTGTCTTTTGAGACAGGGTGTTGCTATGCAGTTTGGGCTGGCCTTGAGCTCACTTTGTAGCCCAGGGTGGTCTCAAACTTGTAAAGATCTTCCTGCCTTAGCCTCCTGAGTGCTGGGATTACAGGCGTGTGCTACCATGCCTGGTTATCAACAATGATATATTTTTGGGGCTGGGGATTTAGCTCAGCGGCAAAAAGCGCCTGCCTGGCAAGCGCAAGGTCGTGAGTTCGGTTCCCGGTACCGGAGAAAAACCAAAAAA